CCCCCCCCCGCCCCCAAATCCTTAGCTACGCCACTGCTGAAATCCCCTACGCACTCTTGATTTATATTAAAAAAACCTATTTGGGGCGCCAGAAAAATCTAAAATTTGCATTCAGTCTTACTTTAACGTGTAGCATCAGAAACTTGGTGGTGCTGAGCGGCTGGTCTCCCTTGTCTGCGGCGGTGACTGTGAGATTGTAGTCACCCACGTCCTCCTCGGGGAACTTCTTGATCGCGTGCACGTCACCAGTGGCGGGATTCACCTTGAACAGGCGTGACGCATTTCCGGCTTGCAGTGAGTATTGCACTTCGCCATTTTCCCCTTCATCGGCATCCGTGGCCTAGAATAGAGTCACAATAGTGGGTGAGATTTTTGGCTTCACAAAACACTCTGAACATAATGATTAACAAGCATTATTTTGTTTTCGACTCTTAATCCTTATAAAAGCAAATTTTTTTAATCAAAAATGCTTCTTTATAGTTCAATAACTTGTTCCTTGAATGCGTATGCAACACAATGTCTATTTCACTGTAATAAATCAATCAAATATCTATTTACCTCTTGATAAATCAATTAAAAATCTATTCACCTAACTGATAAATCAGTTAATTTGCTCTATTTACCTGTAGCCTAAAGAGTGGAAATTCTCCATCGATCGGCTGGAACAGTGTGATGCTGTTGTTGGAGGCACTCGGAAACGAGAAGACGGGAGCGTTGTCGTTCGCATCCGTCACGAACACCTGGACTTCTGCCTGGGAGCTCAGCCGCGGCCGACCGTTATCGGACGCGACGACGGAGAAGTGGTACGCGTCCCTGACCTCTCGGTCCAGCGGCACCAGGGTCGTGATGGTCCCGTCGGCCGAGACCTGGAACTTGTCGCTCTCCGGGACAGAGGGCGACATCGAGAATCTGACGTCGCCTCCTTCGCGCAGATCCAGGTCGAACGCCGACACGGCCCCGATTACCGTCCCCGCGGGGGCGTTCTCCGGGGTCGAAAACTTGTAGTTGAGCTGAAAGAATTGGGGCGTTACGTCGTTGACATCCAGCACCTTCACCGTCACGGTGGCTGTGGCCGAGAGAGGAGGGGAACCCCCGTCGCGGGCCAGTATTCTCACCACGTGCGTGTCTTGGGTCTCTCTGTCCAGCACTTTGGCACACGTCAGCGTGCTCGAGCCCGCGGGGATACGGAAAAACCCGTTCGAGTCGTCGATGAGGCTGTACGTGATCTTCGCGTTGTCCCCGGCGTCTTCGTCGGCGGCTGACAGGATCATGACGACGTCATTGACGACGTTGTCCTCGGAGAAGGCGACGGTTTGGACCGGCTTGTCGAACACCGGCGCGTTGTCGTTCACATCCCCGACGGCGACGTCGAACGTCGTCGTGGCGCTGAGCCGCGGGGTGCCGGCGTCCTCGCAGAAGACCGTCACGGTGTACTGCGCCGTCTCCTCGCGGTTCAGCGGCCGCACGGCCACGACCTTGTAGTCGTCGTCTTGGAGGGGTCGGAGGTCGAAGAACGAGCTCTGGCTGTAGCACGTGACCGCGCCGTTTTCTCCCGAGTCCGGGTCGGACACGGAGACGTAGGCCACCATGGTGTCGTGGCCGGCCGACTCCAGGATGTAGGCGCTGCTGGCGTCACCGTTCAGCGGATCGACGGATATCTCGGGTGGATTGTTCATGGTGTCGATGACGGTCACCAGGACTTCCGTCTGGTTGACCTTCTGCGGGGTCCCTCCGTCCACGGCCTCGACGATGACAGTGTAGCCGCCGCTGGGCAAGGCGGCTCTCGCGGAGAGAACCCCGGACTTGGGATCCACGGCGAACCTCTCGGCGACCCCGGTGTACTGGTTCCTGCTCAGCCTGTAGCTTATCTCTGCGTTGATCCCGATGTCGCCGTCGGACGCGGTCAGCGTTAAAATGACCGCTCCGGGGGCCGTGTTCTCGCCGACCTTGACGGCGTACTGACTCTGCGGAAAGCTGGGCGTGTTGTCATTGACGTCCGCGACCTTGATGTCGATCACCATCGAACCGCTCCTTGGAGGCGCCCCACCGTCGCGTGCCACGAGCACCAGCCGATATTCATCCTCAGTCTCGCGGTCAAGCACGTGATTGACCACGAGGATCACGTCAAAGGTGCCGTCGAGCTTCTTGAGGTAATCGACGCTGAAATACGAACTGCTCGGCTCGATGCCGTACGACGTTATGGTATTGTTATCTCTGTCGTCGTCGGAGGCAGGCGGTATCGAATACTTCATCCCCAGAGTAACCGACTCGGGAATGCTCAGCGTTACACTGGGATTCGGGAATATCGGAGCGTTGTCGTTGACGTCCAGTAAGTTGATGACGATCCAGTACTTCCGGATGTCCGCGGCTGACCGAGCCACGACGCGCACGTTGAGCAGACACTGAGCCTTGAAGCGGCACAGCTGCTCGCGGTCGAGCTTGAACTTGGTGAAGAGGTCGCTGTTGTCTTTGTCCACCCTGAACTGGCCGCCGTCCTCCCAAGCCATCAGGCTGTACTGGAGGGTCCGAAACACGTCGGCGGGGATCAGCGCCGCCAAGTTGAGATCCCGGGCAACGTTCCCCACGAAAGAACCTTCCGCTTCCTCCTCCGGAAAGCTGTAGGTCTTATCCTGGGCGTAGGCGTAAACCACGAGGGTTAACACTGCTACGACACTGAGAGCCATTGCTGTAGCACTCTGTTAACAAAGTATCGTTAAATAAACTAGCAGACGCTCAACAGTGATCACCGCAGGGTTGACTTACGAACGTACCGGTTGGTGGAACGCATTGCATGAATAGAACCAATGGGCAGGCTCGTTACACAACCATTGGACAGTTTATCAACACCAATGATAGTTTTGGTTACTACTTTTACTTATCTCCAGAAAAACAGCACGCTAATTCAAGATCTTGGCGAAGATCTTAATTGGACTACCCTTATATGCCTTAAATACCCTTATATTTTGTTCAACAATCTGGTGTTGGCAAAATTGTTTTTGAATTTTGATGTTGTATCTAATCCTCACGCGGTGGTTAGTGGGGCCCAGTTTTGGTAAAACTGAAGCAAGCTTTTCTTGAACATCCCAAAAAAAACGTTTGTATATTTATTCTTCTTGTTGTTGGTCGAGCTCGTTGGTAGCAGTGATGACTTCTAGGATTTAATAGATCGCCACTCGTATGTTCGCGACGTGACGCACACTGTCACATGTGCTACTGCAACTGGAACTCGAAGATTGGGCGTCTGTATGTGGGTCTATCTGAAACGACAGTAGATATTAACGTTTATGATTTTATTTTCTCAAAAGCAAATGTGCAAGTCTTTGATAGGAATACAATTATTTTTGAGGCCTTAGTGAAGTTTTTTTTAATGAAAAAAAAATATGATTGTTTATGCTCCCCAATTTAAGTCACGTGCTAGCTTAAAAAAAAAGAAGAAAAAAAAAGGTGGGGGGGGGGGCACTTAAAATATTTAGAGGAGGCACAGTCTGTTAAACAAAGTACAGAGGCGGCGAAAATCTTAGCCCACCCCGGGTGGTAGTAACCCTATTTATGCTTAGCATAGCCAACGCCTAAAAAAAAAAAAAAAAAAAAAAGGTGGGGGGGGGGGGCACTTAAAATATTTAGAGGAGGCACAGTCTGTTAAACAAAGTACAGAGGCGGCGGAAATCTTAGCCCACCCCGGGTGGTAGTAACCCTATTTATGCTTAGCATAGCCAACGCCAGGGGTTATTTTTCATTCAAGATCTTCAAAATATTGGATATTTATAAAAAATATATATATATAATTTAAGAAACGCATTGAGCAAAAGGGTCATGAATCTGAGGTCATGTGAGAAAAACATTTCAGTGGTAGACATGGTGAGTACAATGATATATTACGGGTAGAAATTTGTAGAAGGAAACATTTATAAATCCTAATAATGACAATACTATTTTAAAATAATTACGGCACTTGCCTAAAGAATCGATCGGGTCTCTTTATGTGACCGTATGTCCGAGCATCAGTGATTCCCCATCAAAACGAATGTACTCCATGCACAACAAAACATTTGATTTTCACTGAAAACTAAACCACACACCGAGAAAGAAAATGAGCCGCAAGAGTAATAACCCAAATGCTTTGTCCACACAAGGTATCCGCTAGTTATGTACTGTCGAGAACAATAGCCTCCCCTGCCATAACGGGAGCAGCTAACCAACAGTTATGTTGTATCAGATCAGCTCAAACATTCCTGGCATAGAGAGTGTACGACTGATCCCCCCCCCCCCCCCCCACCCTTACTGTCGAGACCAATAGCCTCCCCTGCCATAACGGGAGCAGCTAACCAACAGTTATGTTGTATCAGATCAGCTCAAACATTCCTGGCATAGAGAGTGTACGACTGATCCCCCCCACCCCACCCCACCCAAACACCATGACACCGATAGGTCAGAGAAATACCTATCTCCTCCCCCCCCCCTACCTCCCGCGTACACAACGTACAACACTCTCTTCGAACAAACAACGCCGGACGGACCGCAGGTAGGAAAAAGAAAAAAGAAAAAAAAACCACACACACACACAGCAAAATTCGGGTTTTTTGTTTGGCTCCGCCCACAGCCTCGTCTTCTTGTCCAGCCATTAGACATTGACATGTCAAAAAGTGTTCGATCACAGTCCATCATCAGCGACAACTCGCTTGTACCAACGACAGCTGGAGTCGTGGCCGGACGCATGGACCAACAACATCTTGTGACAAGACTGTACGTTTAAAGTTTAAACATCTTGTGACAAGACTGTAGCAACAACATCTTGTGACAAGACTGTACGTTTAAACATCTTGTAGCAAGACTGTACCAACAACATCTTGTGACAAGACTGTAACGGCCACAGCTTGTGACACTACCTTTGTAACAACTACTGCTTGTGACAAGACTGTAACGGCCACAGCTTGTGACACTACCTTTGTAACAACTACTGTTTGTGACAAGACTGTACCAACTTCTGCTTGTGACAAGACTGTCCCAACTACTGTATGTGACAAGACTGTCCCAACTACTGTATGTGACAAGACTGTACCAACTACTGCTTATGTGACAATAATGTGCCAAGAACTGCTTGTGACAAGACATACGAACGAACTACCGCTTGGAAGCTAAACACATAAATTAAAACATTGTCAGTTAACCACAAACAGTTAAATATAAAGGGTTAACATAGATTATAAACATAGATAATTAACTCTTTTTTTTTTTAAAGACCACAACACAGTCTAACTCAGTTAAACTTTGACAGGCGAAGACGTGCTATTGCGTTTCGGTAGTTAAACTCACAGTTTTAACACTCAAATGTATAAGAATACAAACTCTATTATTGACAGCTACACAAATACATCATAACATCTGCTGTTGGAGTTTTCAACATTTGTTTCTTTAAAATCTCTCTACCAATGCCAAGCCCCTGGGTGAATTTTCAAACTGTTACGTGAGGATACCACGAAGTGTGACAGCAGTAAGCCCGTAAGATGTAAGATACTCGATCTTGTTACGACAATGCTCTCTGTTTCGTCCCGCCGCCATTTATTTGAATTGTCCCCCCTTTTTGCGTCTGCCAATTCAAATGTGTGCCCCCCCCCCCCCCTGGGACGAGTCCCCCGCACTTTGGTAAAGTCTGTCTCCAAACTGTAAGTCTCGACCTTTACCTACACAACTGATATTAGCATTAAAGAACTGTGCAATATAACACCGGTGTACTGTGCTAATTGAATGCATTTATCTTATTAAAGCATGCGTTTTTTAATTATAAATGTCTCTTACAAAAACACCTTAAATCAATGTCAAATCTTTTATATGCTTTTTAAAAAATAGTATTTTTAAAAATTAATATTCTAATGACCCACCCGTTTTTACACCCCAAATTTATATCACCTACGGCATGCTAATCAGTGCTGAAAAGACAAAACTGATGACCAATAACATCACAGGCGTCACCACTGAAATTAAGGTCGGGGGAGGAAAGACTAGATAGAGACGGTAGGCCGCTTCAAATACCTGGAAGCAATAGTCTCAGAAGAAGGCTCCAAGCCCGAACTGACGTCTAGGATTGCGCAGACTACGACAGCACTAAACAAAAGCAAACTACAATGGTACGGCCACGTAACAAGGAAACAAGGGCTTGCCAAAGAAATATTGCAGGGCACCACAAGAGGTGGGCGAAGAAGAGGAAGATAAAGAAAAATATATGAGGATAACATCAAAGAGTGGACAGGACTAACACTGCATGGGCGATGCTGTGCGTAGTGCAGAAGACAGAGACGAATGGAGGAGGATAGTTCACATGTCATCTGTGGCGCCCCAACGGTCCAAGGACTAAGGGACATGATGATGGTAATGATGTCAGAAAAACAAAGAAAAATATTACGCACCAAAAGCACTTGCGATATTTTTTTTAAAGAGAATTTCATTTAGCGCAGTTATCTGGAACTTTATTTCGTGAAATCAGTGTCATCATATTGCTTTCATCATCCACTAGAAAAACAGAAGAACAAAAATTTGTGGGGGTGGGGCTGAAAAATGTGATAGAATTTGGTTGTCATTGGCATCGAGTCTACGCGCCAAGTTTCAGATCGATAGGTTGACGGGAAGTGGGTCAAGTAGCCGTCCACCCAGCCGAAAACACACGAACAAAAGCGTCGTTGATATAAAGGATTAAAAAAAAAAATCCTACTCTTTTTAAAAAATAAGAAGTTGCATTCTGCATTATAAGATGAGTGAAAATGAAGGTAGTTTATCATTGAGTCTCAATGAGGCATGCTGTTATGTCACATTCCTAATCTTAATCTTACTTTTTATTTATAATTATTATTTTTTTTTTTGGGGTGGGGGGATATGCATGAGTGTGAAAGCGTGTGTGCATGTTTATTTTTGTTTTGTGCGTGTATGTGTGTGCGTGGAAGGTGTGATTTGGCACCAATTCGTGTCACCGGTTTACATGTATGTTAAAAAAAACACAAAAAAAAAACTATTTTAAATTTAAATTGTTCCTATTATATAAATGTGTGTAGATATTTATTTATATACAGTAAAAGCAAACATGTACAACTGATTCTGCTCCAGTGATGTTCGACGTTCAGCCCGTAAAAGAAGAGATACTTTGCGTAAAATCATCACCCCAGCTGTTCAACATAGCCAACAGTTCAACATAGCCAAGTATTCAACGTAGCCAACTATTCATTGATTGCATCAACGTAGCCGATTATTCAACATAGCAAACTATTCAGCACAGCCAACCAAGTTTGGATCTGAGGGACCGCGGAGTTATCTCGCCACCACTCTGGGCGATAGAAGCAAGGAAAACACGGGACAGGTCACGTGGGACCGCTGAGTTATCTCGTCATCGCTAAAGGGTACATGTCACGTGACGGAGTCAAGCCATCTAACCGTGACCACGGCTACATCGAACCGCCCTATTCATAGCGATCTTCATAGACCTGACATCGCGCAGTGACCACAGACATTTCTCTACCCACTTCCCTGCCGTCCGCGTGCGGTGGTCGAAAAAACATCGAACAGTGACCAACCGCCGTATGCGGTCTTCAATCAAATTTTGTTTGACCGGTGGTCAGAAATA